CGTGCTGGCAACAGGAAGCGTGCGGTTGTCTTTTGGGTCCAGGCTACTCCAGGCTGAGGGGACCGGTCCCACCGTGCCTCAGCCCTTGCGGCGCAGGGGCTGATGCCGGGGCTCGCTGCTGGGCCCGGCTGCGGGAGGGCTGTTTGTGGAGCTGGAGAAGCGGGCCGTTGGCCCAAACAACCGTTCCCACAGTTGGAACAGCGTCCCGAGCAGTGTGTGGGTGGCACTGCTCCGCCAACATCTGTTACCTCATGTGTTCCTTCTCACTTTTCCGGGAAAGCTGACTGTTAACCGCACGTAACCCCACGTCCCTGCAAAGGAAGGGGGAGGCTGGCTGCATCTCCACCTGCCCCGGGACGGGGTTCCTACAGGACCGCCGTGTCCCTGCGGGAGGAAGGGCGTCGGGAGCGGTGTGCTGGCCGTGCTCGTGTGCCTGGGACGGGGTCTCATCTGGGTCCTGGTAGCTTTACAGAGAGGTCTCTTTGGGGAGCATCTTCCCGGCATCTCGCCGTTGCCATCCCAGCCAGGAGGTGCGGTGTCTCAGCACAGCAGGGGATTGCTTCCCGCTGGCCGAAGCCCCGCAAAAGCCGATAGCTCTGGCGGGGGATCTACCTGCGGCTGTGTTGTTTCAGGGCAGCTCCCTGGTGCTCCTGGCCACGTCTGCATGTTTGTGCTCCGCAGGACTACGCACTGAGAGCAAGCTGTTTACGTGCATCAGGCCCCATGATAGGCTTCTCCGTACCTCAGGACTTTATTCAAAACATCGTGTACTTGATGACGGGAGGTTTTGCTTGATAGGAATGTAGCCTTTACCCTCAGTCTTAAGAGCTTGCAGCGCAGATGGACTTTGCCAGGCAGAACACTCGTGTACTCCTACAGCCAGATTGTAGGAGGGCAGGGAGAAGTCATCTGATAAAAGCGAACGTCCTGGCCAACTCTTCCAGCAAGATTGTGTTGCTTACAATTGCCAGGGGGCCCTGCTAGAACATCCCGCCTTGGAGGCTGGGGAGATGCTTCTCCCTCCGCTCTTGTGTAACGGCGTGGGCAATGGAGGGAGGAGGGTGGAGGGCAAGCGTGGGCTCGAGGGGAAGGCAGCGGTGCTGGGAGGCAGTCGGAAAGGCTCTGGTTCCCGTGCTGTGGTGCTCCTGCCCCTGTCCCTCCCCTTTTAGGCTGCTCTTGTAGACCTGATGGGGGGCAGCTAGCATGGAGAGCTGTTGGGCCCTTTGGGATCTCAGTGCTGGAGGGAGAAACCTGCCTGGGTGCCATCTTGGGGGGGAGGCCTGGTGCTGCATCGCTTCAGCAAGAGCAGCCGGGGGTCCCTGTCCACCCGGCCGGCAGCACCCTGGGCTGCCAGCGATGCGGGTTTGTTCATGCCGTCGCATCTCGGACCCGCGGTTCTGCGGTGGTGCGCGTCGCCGAGAGCTGCGGGTTCCTTGTACTAATCTGTCGGTTTTCTGCCTTGTCTGATTTTTCAAGAGTCCATCGTAGGAAACTGTATGGACAGGAGTTCCCCGGGCCAAGCGATGCAGGTGCCTGACCACAATGGACTGGGCTATCCTGCACGACCCGCCTCCAGCGAGCACCCGCGGCCCCGGACCCTGCAGAGACATCACACCATTCAGAACAGCGATGATGCCTACGTAGGTTTGCAGAAACCCGTGCCCGGCAGGGCTTAAGGCAGCGCGGAGTTTCCTTGACGCGTGTGGGGGTTATGTATGAGGTGGCATAGGGGAAAGGCGGCACCCTGCTCCGCGGGGCTGCTGGGCGTGAAGGGCCGTGGGGACGCCTCAGTACGTCCCGTTTGCTTAATGCTGAAAACAACTTAGCAGAGAGCAATACGGAAGGGCCTCTCCTTCGCTCACGCTTTGTCCCGGGGCTGGCTGCTGTAGCCACGGCATCTCTTCTTTTTCCTCCGAGGCCCTTCTGATGAGACGGTCCGGGCTGCCCCAGGCCTGGCTCTGGCCGCAGAGGGCTTTTCAGGCACACGGAGCCCGGCTTTCGGTTCTGCAGTGCTGCTAAAGGAGTTGGCCACAGCAGCCCAGCCTTGACCGAGAACAGAGGGCGGCTGCTCCGCTTCCCCTGTGTTTTGGGCCACTGGGAACCGTCCTGCCCAAACCTTGATGCGTTCTCTGCTACAGCTCCCTTCTGCTACGAATGAGAAGGGCTCTCCCGTAGTTAGTTCGGCGTGGGTCTGGAAGGGACTTGAACTGCCCAGTCCGTTCGTGTGCTGAGGGGACATCAGCTGCACTTAAGCTGTGCCTGATGTTCGGTTTTTGCTTGTACGCGGAAACCCTGGCTGGAGGCTTTCCGCAGCAGCCTGTCGGAGCTGGGGGAGCAGCAGGGTGCCTTGGCCCGAGCCCCCTTTGACTTGTGTGCTGCTGTCTCCGCAGGTGCAGTTAGATAACTTGCCTGGAATGAGTTTAATGGCAGGAAAAGCACTAAGTTCTGCTCGGATGTCCGATGCCGTCCTCAGCCAGTCGTCGCTGATGGCCAGCCAGCAGCTGCGCGACAGGGAGAGTGAAGGTAAGGACCCGGCCGAGCTGCAGAGACGCGGCAGGGAGGGCAAGGGGTGCCGTGCGGGGTCTGGGCCAGGGACTGAGAGGACCAGCTCGCAGTCTGCGTTGCAAAGCCACCTCTCCTCCGAGTGAGCAGTGCCTGCAGGGAGCGAGGGCTGCGGGGCAGCACGTGCTGAAGGGCGGTTCCTCGGGTGCTGCCGTTGGTTGGAGCCTGGGCTGGCGGGAGCAGTGTCCTAGGCTTCCCGGAGAAACGCCGGGCGGCTTTGCCTGTGATGCGACCCTTCAGGCCATGGCAGCCTGCTGGCCTGATCCCCATGTCGGAGCCGTAGCTCCTTCACACTCCTTGTGCAAGCTCTGATGCTGTTCTTTGACCTTACAGAATGCGGCGAGAGTTTGGAAGGTCAAGAGCATCCCAACCTAGGTGATGGCAACCAGCATCTAAACACCTCCTGTTACCCATCGACATGTATTACAGACGTCCTACTGAGCTACAAGCACCCGGAGGTGCCCTTTGGGATGGAGCAGGCAGGGGTGTAACTGGGAGGGAGTGAGTATCCAAGCGTCCTCCTCCTTCCCACTGCACACCACAGGTTGCCTTGGTGGCGGACCCCAAGGCCTGTTGGCCCGACTCGTGCCTGTCTCCTTCACCGCCCCTCGCTCCAAGGCCGGCGCGAGGCTGGGGAAGAGACCGTCAGCTCTGGGCTTCTGCACTGCTGCCTGCCTGCTGTCCCCCTCTGTTCATCAGGGGGTGGGGGGTCCCCCTCCTTCCCGGCCTTGGC